GGGGGGGGGGGGGGGGGGGGCGCGACAGGGCGGGCCGGGCCGAGTGCGCCTTGGGCCTGGAGCCACAGCCCCCAAGTACGGGGCGTTTCGGGCGGACCCTTGGGCACTTGCGCCCCTCTTCCCTACAGGGGGTCCCCGGAGCGCTGTCCAGGTCCCGAATCCAGGGGGCGCTGGCCTGTGCGCCCCGGTTTCCGCGCGTGGAGGAAAGCGCCGCCGCAGCACCCACTAATGTGGCGTCGTGGATGGGCCCCCTGCACTCTGGAGCTGGGGACTCTGACTCTGGGTGTTTCCCCTCCTGCCAGTTGTCCAAGTTGTGAAAAGGAGCCTCCTGGCTATGGGGACAGGGAACAGCTCCCTCAGGGGCTTCCACTTCTGCGTCGGCCCGCAGAAACCTTCCGGGGGCCTCCTAGGCTCTTGTCTCACTCCTCCCCGTCCTGGAAGCTCTATCTGGGATGTCCACTATGGTGACCACTAGCCAGGTGTGGCTATTGCAATCAACTTTAAAATGAAGTGTTCCTTTCCTCAGTCCCAGTAGCCACATCGCAAGCTCTCAGTAGCCACAAGTGGCTGGTGGCTGCTGTATTGGACGGTGCAGACAGGGAAACTTGTACTCGTCACGGACAGTTCTGTGATCTGGGGTACTGGACAAGGTGGGACTGGCCCCTGCTGCTTCTCCCCCTCCTCCTGCCAGGCGCCATGCTAGCCACACCTGGCGCCTCTTCCTCCCTTCCCTGCAGGCTGGCCTGCCCTTCCTTCCTGGCCTTCGGGGTAGCTGGCCATCCTCCCGCAGATCTGAGTTCACTGTCACTCGCTCACCTTCCTGACCACTCTTTCCCAGTATCTCCTGTCTCAGTTTCCTTCTCTTTTCCTTCCCAGCACTTCATGTTTTGTCATTGCTACTTATCGGCTGGTTTTCCGTTTTATTTGTAGTCTCTGAGGCAGAGATTGGGATTATTGCTTACCCTATGCCCAGTCTGGACACAGTATTAGATTGAAAGATACAGATGAAATCTGTTACAACTGGAGTTCTTTGGCTAGTAGAAATGGTACTTTCGTGTGGTTGAACCTCATATGTCATCCTAGGTCCTGAGTAGAAATTTGGTGTAGCAAATGTGTGGACAACAGGGCAGCACAGGGTGAGGAACACAGTTGTGATTGCAGATGGCTGCGGGAGACTAGCAAATCTGAGAAGGCTTCCTGGAGGAGATCGAGTTTTAGCTGGGTCACCTCTATCCCTCTTCTGCTCCTCTGGCCTGGCTGTGCACACATTCAGCAGCCTGTGGCTAATAGTTTCCATTTTGTTGTTTTAGTTTTTCTTCAAGGTTTCAACTTTTGGATATTTTTATTAAATTAATTGTTCTGTTTTTCTACTTATTAACTTATTGCTTTTTGCTAACAGTTAATAATTCCTTATATTTTTCCTGTTTATCTTATCACTGTTTTTGGAAATGATGTGTATGCTTGATTCACTTGTTCACATTCTTTTCAGAAAAGTACTTCATGTTTAAGGTGTGATGCTTAAGTTCCAATAGAACAGATTTTCTTTATCATTGCTGTCTAAAGTTCTGCAGTTTTGGTATATATTTTCTTTTTGGCTCAGGAGTTTTTAGGAGAAAGTTTTAAAATTTCCAAGTAGAGGTTCTTTTGATTTATTGGTTTTACTATTATTGTAGTTTGAGTTGCATTTTGATGAG